GGAAAATAATTTCCTGAGGAACCCATTGGCGATTTGGCTTGACTGCTATTGGGTTGGATCTTTAGACTTTATTTGTTTCCCGGAGAATCAATCCTTTGAACCCACCACAAGTGAAACTTTTTGCAGGGGGTTAACAGTAGTAAAGTTGGATTTGTGATTTGAATTTTGTTTTGAACCCATGGCAGAGGGTCAATGGAGTTTCCAGTTCCCCGGAACTGGAGAAGTGGAAGCTGATTCAATGTTATGACTCATCCAGACCTGCCCGTTCTCACCACTTTTTTGGTTGGAAGGGTTCCCCTACTAAAATAGACTGCAGAAACAAAGGATACCCTTATTCTAACCTCTCTACTGGAGGACCTAGTAGAGGAACTTCTTAAACATAGATAACCCCTGATTCGCACGGTCGGGATGCGGATTGGGCCGGTTTCTGTGATAACTCACTTGAAGGCTGGCCGGATCTCTCCTTTTGGCTTTCCGAACCGTCTTGACATGTCCATTCTTAATAATGCAAAAAGGTGAACCTTTGATTCTTAGCTGTCCTTTGGGCAACTGTGACAAAGAGAGAAGGATCCCTTTTCAGCAGCAAGTTTGCTTCCAATGATAGGGTTTATTCCTAGAAAAGTTTGTTGCCAGACGCAAAGGCGAGGAATTGTGGAGCCTAGGAGCCAATGGATGATTCAAGTCCTATGGGCCAAGTTCAAGTCCTTTCCCTTAACCCTTTGTTGGGGGGAGGGTTCCCCTACTAAATTAGACTACAGAAAAAGGGTATCCTTCCTAGTCACCATATGTTTTTGCATTTTCCCTGTTGGTTTTAAAGGACATCGATGACAACTGGACATGATATTTTTCCCGGGGGCGCATTCGCCAATGAGCGGCGTCATGCGGCGTCCAAAACCTCCGTGTACATGTTTATTAAGAGTCGTGTCGTATCGGCTTGCGCGCAAGCAAAAACTCCACGCGGGTAAGGTGGCGTAAGCTAGTGGCTTACGCAAAATGATACGACATAGGCGCAAATCATGACACGTGTAGGACGTCCACGGCTCAAATGGAAGCCCCAAAAACTCGTTGAAGCGGCGCGTTCTGGCCCAGAACCCGTAGAAACCCATTTGTTTTTCCAACTTCTCATCGCGATCGCTCGTGGACGCAACCAAAAACGCTTTTGCGCCAAATCATTTGTTTTTTCTGGCCTTTTTAGTTTTCTCCCAAAACCAGAGCCTGGCGATTCGACGTATGTGGCATGCGACCAAACCAGAAAAGCACGCCTCAAGTAAACCTTTATTTTTTAATGGACCCCCAAAACGGCCAAAACGTTTCTCCCTTGTCCTGTTTGCAGCCCCAAAGGAAACGAACCGCCGATACGTTACAGTACCCTGTGAGGCGCCGTCGGTGGCATCCACCAAGCAGATTCTGCTGGGGCAGCGCAGGGTCAGGAGACGGATCACTTCCATTTGCTTAAGAATATGTTTATTTTCCCCTCTTGGTTTTCATGGGACATCTATCACTATTGGACATATTGTTTATTTTTTTTTTCTGCTAGGGGGCTTAAGCAAATGGAAGATCAACAGAAAACTGGGGGGTGTGCCTTTCCACCTTGAAAAAAAGGGAACCCACAAGGGGAACGGCTTGGCCATTTCTTGGGAGACAAACCTTAAATATCCTGACTATGGGCATTCAGTCACCAAAGCTTGCTTCTTCTTGGTAAGGTTGGTTTAAGGGGGAAGCCACAAGGACACCACGAATGAAAAGGGGGTTCCTCGATTTTGACGGGCAAACACCTGGCAAAGGGGCCACCGTTGCTCGCAACCGTTCCGTTGAACTGCGAGGACGACCCTCACAAGGCAAGCCTTTCGCGAAGGCTTTGACAAGGTGCGGGCCTTGGCTGGAGCTACGCATTTTGGTATGTCTTGTTTTAGCCCCCGCCCCTCCCGCCCCCCCGGAGAATGGTGGTTTTCCTTTTGCTTTGCCTGAAAATCCACAGAAAAGGGTTTCCCGCAAAAATGACAGCCATTTGGACAGGTACCCATTTGTCCGTGAGGAATTGGCCTTCTGCGAGCCAAGTATTCCTTGCCAACACTCTTCTTTTTTGCTGTAGCTTCCGATTCAGCCACATTGACACCACGGTTCAAGGGCTAAGCAAGCTATATAAGCACTGCGATGTCAGTTGTGCCGCATTGTTGATAGAAGCGGTTGAGTGCCTCCAGCAATCGCAAACTTGGCTTAGCTTCTGGTTTTGACCTGTTGTGCAAATGCGGAGTTTCTTGCTCGTAGGCCTTGCATCACTTGTATAATACACCCGCGTGTTTTGCACGCCGTGCACAGGTGCCGTACAATCTTCCAGAATTTCCAGTGCCGGCGCGGGGTTCTGGACGGAGAGTGCTGCGATTTGGGTTTGCCAGTATCAACTTTCTGACGAAACACCTGAAATCAGCTCAAGCTTTCAACTGAAACCTGGGAATGTTCAGCCGATGCCGGTGATGTTTTCCAGGTGGCAATGCAGGGCTTGGCCACTTTAACCATGTTTGTTCCTTCAAAGCGCGCTCAATTCACAGCCATGTGCTTTTTGAGTTGTCGCCGAAGCCTACAGCCGAAAAGAAAGGCCATTTGTGGGGTGATTCTAATGCAAACCCATGTCATGTTCTCGTGTTCATATTCTCACTCACCTTATGGCCCTGGTATCAACTTGCTGTTGGCGATCAAGTTGCTGTTCAGGTGTGCGCGTTCCTTTGGCCTTGTCTTTTCTCATCCTAGGTGTCCGTAGCACAAGCCACTTTGCTTGCGCCGGTAATGACCGAGATACTGCTCACTTGAGATGCCACGAGGCTCATTGTCACTATGCAGGCCTAGTCACCAGGCAAAACGGCCGCCCATTCCAATGCCCTTCCATTTGCTTAAGAATATGTGTTATTTCCCTTGATGGTTTTAAAGGGAATCTAGCACTACTGGAAACATTTTGTCCAGGAAGCATATGCAGATGGAAGTGTCTTGTTTGACAGGCCGGCCTCTGAGTTTTTTTCTTTCGCGCGAGGCCCACCTGCTGTCAAAATCCTTTCACCCGCTCCCTGGCTCAGATTTTAGCTACCACGTTTCTGGGCAAACATCGACGTCACGTTTCGGTTGCCTCAAGCGTTCAATTCATTGCATCGACGCCCTGTCGAATGTGCGTTGCAGAAGTCAATCGCTCAGATGATCGGAACATGCTGGTTCAGCATGATTCAAATATACATGTCAAAACATGCAACACTCTGCAACCATTTCAGTCTAGTTTGCCCGTGTTGCGCCTGGTGTGCTTGAGTGTGTGTGTGTGTGTGTGTGCGTGGGTGTGTGGGTATGTGTGTGTGTGTGTGTGTGTGCGTTTGCATCAGCTGGAAGTGGTGTCAGTTGATAGCTAGTTCAATGCAACGGCTGTGTTGGAGCTAGTGTGCTTCTCTCGTGCATCATGGTGGTTTGTTGTTCCTGCCGTTGTTCCGTAAATGCTGTCCCAATTTACGAGACAAAGTCTACTCAACCCAAAGGGGAGATCAATCTCTCTCGCAGGCTAGCTGAGACACATTTTACTGAGAAGCGTTTTGACCCATGGCCAGATGGTTTCCACTGGTTTCAGTTTGGTTCTGATCATGCACCACTGCCAGGAATTGTCAAAAAGGACTGCTATAAGCCAGGCTCCAGCTTGTGTTTTTGTCTGAGGCCGTTTCAGGCTGAACACCAACAAGCAGTGGCAGAGGCGATGGGGGTGTTTTTCCTGCGATCGCATTTCGGCTCAGTTGTCAGAAGGCCTGTCAACATTTTCCCTTGGGGGGGGGTGTTTGTTGTTGTGCTTAGGGAAGCTTCAAAGGAACACCAGCGTAGGGATTCCCCCTAATTGGAGCTAATTACCTTGGACCTTGCGGTCAATGTCCAAAGTTTCATCTCGGCGTTTATCCAACCACTTTTGATATATTTTCGGGAATCTCCCCCTTATTGGGGGTTGAAAGTCTTTGGGAGCCCCTTTTTCATTGTATCACAGATTCATGGATTCCATTTCAACCACAGCCCTGAACCTGTCTTTGTTTCGACGGCAGCCTCTAAAGGGGCTGGTTAGGGGCTGGTTAGGTTTCTTCGAGGGCTGGCTAGGAGTGTCCACCGCTCATTGGCACGGAATGTGAAGCAGGGCGCCTGGGATGGATGAAACCCGATGTGGAAACTGGGAAACACCAGCTGGCGCTTGGCGTGGAGTCTGCCATGTGTCCTTTTTTTTTGGGTTACCCCTCCTCCAACAAACATAGCATCTGCGGGGGTGTACCTGGAAGATCAGTGTCCTCTTAAAGGAACCCCCTGATAAGTGCTATGTTAGTGGAACCCCTCTTTTGAAAGAAACCATTCCCGGCCTCCCGAGTGAATTTTGAGACACACTCATCCGTTGTGACAGGGTCGGTGAAGCGGCCTTCGCAATGCTTCCAGCTTGCTTCGGCTTGACGTAGCCTGTCAGGCACCCCTTTGGAGTGTCCTTTGAATCGACCTAAGAATCAGCTTCCCCCCGCATTTGGTGATTTGGAGTGGTTTGGGGATTCCCCCTTTTTCTGGAGGCTAAATGGGCGTACCCCAACCTCCAAACCAATCCATGCCAGAAATTGGAAAAGCTGATCCTGTGGTTTGTGGACACGCGTATCTTGTTTTGGGCCGGGAGCCCCCCCGGTGGCGGTTCCAGCTTGGCAGGACAAGCGAAGGCCCAATGTTTGGCCAATGTGCTAGGCCAAGCTGGGAACACAATCACTAGGTCCCCCAGCTAGGTGCCCTTTTACCTTTTTCAACTTTTACCGTTTCTTTTTTGGGGGAGGGTTCCCCTACTAAAATAGACTACAGAACAAAGTTGGTACCCTTATTCTATCCTCTCTACTCGATGAAAATTGACGTCTCGTTTGCAGGCTGTCGCAACTTGCTTCTCCCTCGCTCACACAGGACAGGGCCGGCCTGGCTTGGCAGCATCAATTTGACCAATCGCCGCAAATGGAGACATCGGTGTT